TCAAAGTCAAGAATGTTGCCGACTGAGCCAAGATAGCACCTGTGTGGATTCATGTGTGCGCATGGATTTGTTTAAGTTTTCACGCTAGTTTGTGCATTCGTGTGTATGCATGAAGTGTGTGTGCATTTGTGTGCATGTGTTTAAGTGTGTACGTGTGTATTCATTCAAGTGTACATTGTAATGTATGTGTGGCTGTGTAAGAGAGAGAGAAGCAAAACTGTATTTTAGTGTGCCATCAATAATCTGTGAAGAGGCTGCAGGGAAGCTGTTGTAAAACTGGGCCATTGCGGGATGCGTGAACAAAAACAGATAGGAGATGTGTTCTCTCCATGGGAACACACACTGCCAGTGTCAAACCAGCTATTTTGAAGGCATGGGGGTTATTCCTTGAACGGGACTTAGTGGATATAATTATCCAAGCATTCAATATTGCACCTTTTCTGTCAGATGCCTCAAAGGATATATTTTAAAGTGCTTCACAATACAGTATATACTGAAAAATATAGTGACTGTATATTTTGTAAGCAAACATGGCTGCCACTTGGTTCACAACAACGTCCCGCAAACCGCCATGAAGTCAGTGACCAATTTTATCTGGGGGATTGTCAGCCAGGATGTGGAGAGAAATGCCCTTCTCTTTTTGAATAGTTCCATTGCATATTTAACTTCCACCTGAACAGGCGGGCAAGGCCTTGGTTTCATCTCATCTCAAGGTCAGCACCTCCAATAGTAAAGAGTTGCTCCAGAACAACAGTGGAGTCATAGAATTACATACATTGCAGTATGGAAACAGACCATTTGGCCCATCCAATCTGTGAATGTGTTTATGCTCCCCACAAGCCTCGACCCAACTTAATTAACCCTCTCATATCCTCTATTCCATTCTCTCTCTTAGTGTGCACCAGCTTTGTGCAGTCCTCAATGTGGGTTAAACCCTCAATGCAAAACAAGTTAACCCTTAAAAAAAGCACAAAGCAATTACAATGATAGTTACTGACAAAAAGAAACTGGAATTCTGCAGATTGCTCAACAAAAAAGTTTTTTAAAAAAATCCAAAACTAGTATTCTAAATAGGATGTTCCTAGGTTGCAGACACTGTAAACTGTTGTGTATATACATATATATCATATATATTCCTTGCAAATCTAAACAGGTCCGTAACCTTGGCCGCAGTTCAATTTGCATTCTCCCTCAAATCCAGACCCTCACCATGGCTGCCTTATTTCATGCCCTCCACATCCCATCTCTGCCAGTATCACACACCTAAAGCAGATGAAACATTTCACACTTCTGTCACATCCAACGCACGTCTTGTTGGTATCTTCCTTGGGTGGGGGGGGGGGTTAGATAAACAGGGTTAAGCCAGAGTTGAACTGATTCCAAGCTGACATGCCTGGCACCTTAACACTGTAATCCAGCCAGCCCCCTATGGCAATCTCAGCAGGTTAGTTCTGAGCCAGGCATGTCCGCAAACCGGAATATTCAAGGGCATTGCTGATGAACCAGCTTGACTCAATGGCAGAACCTGGATGGGAAGATCACTCACTGAGGGTAGGGAGTCATCCCACTCAGCTCCTGTTAACCCTGCAACCCAAAGCTCTAATGGGTAGGGTGTTCCTAGTTGGACAAGCAGTGGGAAAGCTTCCCAGACAGCAATATCAATGGCAAGATATGTAGTTTTAGCAGTACCCCAACACACACTCTGGGGTCCCCAAGCCTTGGCTCTTGCCAATCTTCACCTAATACTTTTCAGAATTAGGTAAGCAGGATGTGTGCCTCCAGGGAGAGAGTGCGCAATCCATTCCAATAATCTTTCTCAGGAATTTCCATGTGTAGGCGGATGCTTGGAATTCTCATTCTGGTTTGGATACTTTTGAGCATGGTGATGGGTTCCCGCATGTGTCAGACACCTGGCTGACCCCCAAAAATTGGTCTCCCTTGCTCCACCATTCGCAAGTTGCAACTCGATCAAAACACTGCCGCCTGCATCCACATCCTCACCAAACTTTGCACACCTATCACCCCAGTCCTCACCAGGCTCCACTGTTTTACTACAGATCAATTTCAAGATCCTCTCCCTCAAATCCTACCTCTTTGAAATCATCTATCCATTCCCCATCCCCTGCTCAGTGCCCAACACTGTCCCTATAAAGCATCCCGACACCTTACCCAGTGCGGAGGGGGTTGTAAAAATGCAAGTTGTTGTTAACAATTGCGAGGTTAGGACTTTTTTTCAAAAGCCGAGGTCACATCAGTTGCACTGTGAATGTTTGGAAAATACACTTTCTCGTGTCACAGCCTGACTTAGTTGGTTAACCACTCGCCTCTGATGTGGGAAGGCTGTGGGTTTAAGCCCCACGTTGGATCTTTTTGAGCTCACAATCTGGGCTGACACTCCAGTTTCATTGTCGGAGTTGCTGTCCTTCAGACAAAACGTTAAACTGAGGCACTGTATCAAATGCAAGGATTGTTATTAAAAAAAACGTTTTGTTGCAATCAACAAGCAGCTTAAACGGCAGGAAGAAGTTGCGGAATTACATCAATAAAATAATAGATACAGTTCCCCCTTCTCCCCCCCCCTCCCCCCCCCCCCAACCCCCATCTTTCTCTCTGGTCAGTCAGTGTCCAGCTCTCTTAAGGTGAAATACACACGTCAAAACAAACAAACAAAGAAGGCTCGCAGTTTCACAGATTGGCAAATTTAAGAGTGTTTGCATGACAAAGGGTTAAACATATATATGTAGCAAAACCCGATCTGCAGCCTTCACCAACAAAACATACACCCAAACATATCAGAAGCTCTCTCTCTCTCTCTCTCTCCACTGGGCCCTTTTGGGAAATTCCTTTGTCTCTGGTTCTGAGTAAAGGAAATCCGAACTGTGTCGACTGGATCTCTAAAATAAAACAAGGTTGAAACGTACATAAGCGCGGACACACACATATACACTCTCACACAAAAAGACGACTAAAAGTTTATCACTTATGGGAAATAAGCCATCTCAATTCAGATCCACCAGCTACAGAAATTATACTTAATTCTGTGCTGCTTTCCCACACAACCCCCATACACTTCCAATTTAATTTCTGGTCTCTCTCTCTCTCTATATATACACAATATAGATATATATACACATACATAAATATATTTGTTTAAATAGTCTTATCTCTTAATCGCTTGCTTTCCACCAGCCATAAATGAACACTCACCCATGTACACCTCCCTCCCCCCACCTCGAAAACAGGAGGAAGAAGGGAGAGAGAGAGAGAGGGGGCCCTTTTAAAGTGGCGTTTTAATATATATATATATATATATAAAGGGAGAGAGAGAGAGAAATATCTAAGCAGACTGAGAATGGAATGGATCAGAGCTAAGAAGGACAATAAATTGGCTCCACGCTGTGGAATTGCCCTGACAGCTTCCGACAACCAGTCTGCAAATCAGTTCTCTTTTTGCACAAAAACCCCTGGCTCTGGCTGTGGCTCTGACTGTGGCTCTGGCTGTGTGTGGCTCTGGCTGTGGCTGTGGCTCTGACTGTGGCTGTGGCTGTGAGTGGCTCTGGCTGTGGCTCTGGTTCTGGTTCTGGCTGTGGCTCTGGCTGTGTGTGGCTCTGGATCTGACTGCGGCTCTGGCTCTGGCTGTGGCTGTGGCTGTGGCAGTGTGTGGCTGTGTGTGGCTGTGTCTCTGGCTGTGTGTGGCTCTGGCTGTGGCTCTGGCTGTGTGTGGCTGTGGCTGTGTGTGGTTGTGGCTCTGGCTGTATGTGGCTGTGTGTGGCTGTGGCTGTGTGGCTGTGTGTAGCTGTGGCTGTGTGTGGCTGTGGCTGTGGCTGTGTGTGGCTGTGTGTGGCTGTGGCTGTGTGTGGCTGTGGCTGTGTGTGGCTGTGGCTCTGGCTGTGTGTGGCTGTGTGTGGCTGTGGCTGTGTGTGGCTGTGGCTGTGTGTGTCTCTGGCTGTGGCTGTGTGTGTCTCTGGCTGTGGCTGTGTGTGTCGCTGTGGCTGTGTGTGGCTGTGTCTCTGGCTGTGGCTGTGTGTGGCTGTGGCTCTGGCTGTGTGTGGCTGTGTGTGGCTGTGGCTGTGTGTGGCTGTGGCTGTGTGTGGCTGTGGCTGTGTGTGGCTGTGGCTGTGTGTGGCTGTGGCTGTGTGTGGCTCTGGCTGTGTGTGGCTGTGGCTGTGTGTGGCTGTGGCTGTGTGTGGCTGTGGCTGTGGCTGTGTGTGGTGTGGCTGTGTCTCTGGCTGTGGCTGTGGCTGTGTGTGGCTGTGTCTCTGGCTGTGGCGGTGGCTGTGTGTGGCTGTGGCTGTGTGTGTCTCTGGCTGTGGCTGTAGATCACCGACTGAAAGGGCATCAATATTACACAGAGCCAAACCACAGATATTTACATCGTATGTGTATTTGTTCCTGCGTTTCAAATAGGAGTCTTCTTATAATGCACAGGGCTTGTGTCTGGGGAGTTGAGGGGAGATGAATGCAGATCTGTTGCCCCCCCACACCCCTACCCCCCACACACCCCCACCCCCCACACACCCCCACCCCCCACCCCCCACACACACCCCCACCCCCCAACACACCCCCACACACACACCCCCCACACACCCCCACCCCCCACACACCCCGCACCCCCCAACACACCCCACCCCCACCCCCCACACACCCCCACCCCCCACACCCCTACCCCCCACACACCCCCACCCACACACACACCCCCCACACACCCCCACCCCCCCACCCCCCAACACAACCCCACCCCCACACCCCCCAACACACCCCCACAAAGCTCAGTCTCCGGCTTAGCTCGTCCCTGGGAATTAAATGGCAAAGGAACAGGGAGGGGGAGAGATGGGAGAGAGAGAGGGGGGGAGAGAGAAAGAAAGAGGGGAGAGATGGAAAAGGAGGAAAGGGAAAAAAGAGCTGGTGGTGGGGGGAGAGGGGAAGAGAGAGATGGAGAGATGGAGAGAGCGAGAAAGAGAGGGGGGAGAGAGAGAGAGAGGGACTGACCAGACCCTTACCTTCGTGCTCGGGGGCCCTCGGTGGGCGGGTGGGGGCCGGACATGATGGGGGAATGAGCCATTATTGTTCCTGTTGGCGGCGGCTGCACTCCCACATGTTCGGCTGCGGTGGGATCGGGAGCCCTGGTCCCCGGCATCACCGCTCCCGGGCCCCCGCCGCGGGAGGGCAGGGTCGCCGGGTGGTCATCGGAGCGGCTCCGGGCCCTCGCTCGGCGGCCAGTGTCGGGGGGGGGGGGGGTGAGGGGGGGTTTGCTCCTGTTCTCTGAGGGGGTGATGGTGATGGTGGTGATGGTGGGGGGGGGGGGACAGGGCTGAGAAGCTCACGAGCTGAACCACAATTTGCTCCTCACCTTCCCCCCGACATGTCTGGGGGGGGGGTTGGAGGGGAGTGGGGGGGAGGGGGGAGTGGGGGGGGGGCTGGGGGGGAGGGGGAGTGGGGGGGGGGAGTGGGGGGGGGCGCGCGGGGGGGAGTGGGGGGGGGGCGCGGGGGGGGGAGGGGGGGGGGCGCGGGGGAGGGGGAGTGGGGGGGGGGGAGTGGGGGGGGGAGGGGGGAGTGGGGGGGGAGGGGGGGGGGGGGGAGGGGGGGGGGGGGCGCGGGGGGGAGTGGGGGGGGGGCGGGGGGGGGGAGTGGGGGGGGGCGCGGGGGGGGAGTGGGGGGGGCGCGGGGGGGGAGTGGGGGGGCGCGGGGGAGTGGGGGGGGCGCGGGGGGAGTGGGGGGGGCGCGGGGGGGGGGGGGGGCGCGGGGAGGGGGAGTGGGGGGGGCGCGGGGGGAGTGGGGGGGGGGGGGGCGCGGGGGCTGCAAAACTTACGATCAGAAGCCAGAAAAAGACTCGAGAGCCATCAGTCGCCTCTGCGGTCGATCAGTTCCCTATCTGCCCCCCTCCCCCGCCACCCCGACCCCCTCCCCACCAAATACACCCCATCCACAACCATCTCACTGCATCCCCTCCCTCAACCCGATGGGATTCCGCTGATCGCTCGCCTCTCCCCTCCTCCCCTCCTCCGGCAAAAGGCGATCGCAGGGCGCCCGCCCCGGTGGCTGAGACTGGATGATCAGGAGACAGAGAGGGGGGAGTGGGGGGGAGGGGGGGGGGGGGAGCCGGCGTTTTGCTGGAGAAAGAAAGGCAATGAATTGCTGTCACTGCTTCCGCTTTCCACTGCTACAGACTGACTTAGAGCACAGATACACACACACAGAGACACACACACACAGAGAGACACACAGACACACACACACAGACACACACACAGAGACACACAGACACACACACACAGAGACACACAGACACACACACACAGAGACACACAGACACACACACAGAGACACACAGACACACACACAGAGACACACACACAGGCACACACACAGAGACACACAGACACACACACACAGACACACACACACAGACACACACACAGAGACACACAGACACACACACACAGAGACACGCACACAGGCACACACACACACAGAGACACACACACAGGCACACACACACACACAGAGACACACACACAGAGACACACACACAGGCACACACACAGAGACACACAGAAAGAGACACACACACAGACACACACACAGGCACACACAGGCACACAGACACACACACAGACACACACACACAGACACACACACACAGACACACACACAGAGACACACAGACACACACACACAGAGACACGCACACAGGCACACACACACACAGAGACACACACACAGGCACACACACACACAGAGACACACACAGAGACACACACACAGGCACACACACAGAGACACACAGAAAGAGACACACACACAGACACACACACAGGCACACACAGGCACACAGACACACACACAGAGACACACACACAGGCACACACAGACACAGAGACACACACAGAGGCACACACACACACAGGCACACACAGACACACACACAGAGACACACACACAGAGACACACACACACGCACACAGGCACACACACACACAGAGACACACACACAGGCACACACACAGACACACAGAAAGAGACACACACACAGAGACACACACACACACAGGCACACACAGGCACACAGACACACACACACACAGAGACACACACACAGCACACACACAGGCACACACAGACACACACACAGAGACACACACACGCACACAGGCACACACACACACAGAGACACACACACACAGGCACACACAGACACAGACACACACACAGAGATACACACAGAGACACACACACAGACACACACACAGAGACAGACACAGACAGACACACACCAATGCCAAGAGCACAACAAATTGGGATAGGGTTATAATATAAGTCTTAGAGCGCCTTGTGACGTTTGTCTAAATATCAGTAAACACGAGAAAAGATTTTACTGGGAGGTGTAGTGACTGTGTATTTTGCAGCCACGTTAGTGAATGACCTATTTTATCCTGGGGATTAAGGGCCAAGAGACCAGGAGAAATTCCGGTCTCTTTTCAAACTATGCCATCAGATCTTTTCATGTCCACCTGATCGGGGCTCAGTTTAACGTCTCACCTCAGGCACTTCTGACAATGCACCTCTTCCTCAGCCAAGAGTGTGAGCTCAAAGTCCTGACGTGTGGGGCTTTAACCCACAACCTTCTGATGCAACAACAACAACAAAATTACATTTGTATAGCGCCTTTCACGTCGGAAGGATGTCCCAAGGCACTCGACAAGAGAGAGAGTGCTACTAACTGAGGAAGGCTGACACAAGATGAGCAGAAAGGTTGAGTGATACTCACCAGGCAAACTGGGCAGCTCAGCTCTTTCATCCTTTTCTCCAATGTTACCTGGAAAATTGACATTGTTTTGTTAATAATAATAATTATCCTCACGTTTTGATATAATGGCCTATCATGTCTTTCAAAAGGTGTCCCGATCAACGATCCCCTAAGTAAAATTGGTCATTAATTTCATGGCTGTTTGTGGGACATTGAAGTTTGTGTTCCATTGATTATTTTAAGAGATGAGAAATTGGAACATTTATATCTTTTGACCCTGTGGTTTTCCAATAATATTTTCAACAATGGAGAGATGAGATGTCAATCTGAGGTCCCGTCTATTGGATGTTAAAGATTCCGCTGCACTATTTGAAAAGAGAAGGGAGTTTCTCTTGGGCTCCTAACTGACAATCCCTCAGAGAGAAAAAATATAATTCACTTCATGGCAATTTGTCGGATGCTGGTGTACACGAATTGGCTGCTTAAAAAATTAATCTCGCCTGCAAAATTCACAGTCACTACACTTCACAGTAAATCCAGTGAGGCATTTGGTGACCCCATATCAAATGCCTATTCCAAAATCAGTTTCAGTGATTTGAACTCCCAAACTTCCGACTCAGAGGTGACAGTGCTGCTAACTTGAGCCAATGCAAACCCCTGAACCCAGAGCAGAACTTGACAAGGAAGTTTCTCCCGGTGACGGACCAGTGTCAGGTGCTGAGCCCTGTTTTTAACACCGTGTACCTGTAGGGGCTCCAACCTCAGAACACTGCAGTCAGTCTTACTTGTAGAATGAAGAGTGCATCCAACATCAGGGCAAGTAACACACAGGTCTGCAAAGTGTGACCTGAGTGATTGCTTGTATTTTACCTGTGTGAGAAAGCTCCAGCCTCAAACTCCACAAGGTCCAAGTTTTGGGTCGCCAGCATTCTATCCTCAATCACGCGTGCTAGTTTTGTTTTGTGATAATATTCTTTGTGAGGTCTACAATGTCGCAACATCTCAAACTGCTCCACGGGAATTTCACTGTAAAGTGCTTATATGACTGTGTGTTTTGTAGGTGAACGTGGCAATCTATCTGGGCATGTCGTGTCCCATACACAACCATCAAGTGAATGACCAATTTTTCATCTGGGGGTTTATTGGCCAGAAACTCTTCTTTCACGTCCCCCTGAACAGGCATAGATGGGTCCTCGGTATAATGTCTCATCCAAAGGACTTCCAATAATTCAGTACTCCCTCAAGATTGCTTCGGAGTATCAGCCCAGACTCTGAGCTCAAAGTTACAACATGGGATTTGACATTTCTGACTCAGAAGTGAGAGGATTGCCAACTGAAACAGGCTGACACCTGAACTCAGAGCAGTACTTGATGAGAGACGGAAGTTTCTCCCAGTATCCTGGCCAACAAAAATAAAATGGCTGTTCGTGGGACATTGCTATGTCTGCCACATTCATCTATAGAATACATGGTCATTATAAATCTTGGGAAGCAATTTGAGACATCCTCAGATGTGGCAGGTACTGTATAAAACACAAAGATTATTATATTGCAAAAAAAGGTTGTTTTCTCAAGTTTCATCCACACTAACACAGCACCCCCGGCTAGGCTCAACTGGGCCTGACTCCCACTGGATCAATTGCAAGGTCCTCACTCATAAATCTTATCACCCTCTTGCACCTCCTTAATCTGTCTGAAATTCCATCTTCCACTTGTCCCTAACTCATGTGACATCCACGCCATCATCATTGGCTGAGCTTTCAGCTATTACACCCCTAACCTTTGGAACTCTCCCTCTGCCCCTGGTTTCGATTCTCTCTATCACCTACAAAATACAGTCACTACGCTTTCCAGAAATTGACCCAGTTTGAGGCCTTCTATAGGTCAGTTCACTTTTCAGTCTATTCTGCGAAGCGCTTTGAGACGTCCAGAGGACGTGAAAAGCGCTATATCAAATGCAAGGATTATTGTTATTATATTATTATCGGTGGGGCATCACTTTTTAAATATATATTACATTCAGATTTTGAATGTGACCTGACAGTATAGGAACAGGTACTGGAAATAACTGGGTGGTTTGGAAATAACTGGGTGGTTTGGAAACGACCAACTGAGTCCATCTCAGTCCTGTGGAACATTCCTTTAACAGACAAAATAAGCTCAAAGCTGTTTATTTCAGCTGCTGCACAATCGCTGCCCCCCAGTGAATCCCAATGCTGAGTCCTGACCCAACACATTCTCTTTATTCTGACTGCGTTTTGTTTTGCCTTCGGGGAATTGAGAGCAATTTTCGAACGTAGTTGGTTGTGGGATTTGTAGTTCCCGTTGGGACAAAAAAAAAACCCTCCTCCGATCTCCTGCCCGAGGAGCGCCCGGTGCAGCGCACCACAAGTCCCAGTCGCTCAGCAGGAGATCGACCGCAGCTTAAAGCAGCAAAAGCATTACCACCAACAGCGGAGCTCAGGTGAGAGACAGACAGATAGGAAGGGATCGAGAGAGGTGGAAGAGAGATTGGGGGGGGGGGGCTGTGGGGAGTGGGGGGGGGGCTGTAGGGGTGGGGGCTGTGGGGGGGGGGGGGGCTGTGGGGGGGGGGCTGTGGGGGAGTGGGGGAGGGGGGGCTGTAGGGGGGGGGGCTGTGGGGGAGTGGGGGGGGGCTGTGGGGGAGTGGGGGGGGCTATGGGGCTGTGGGGGGGGGCGCTGTGGGGGAGTGGGGGGGGGGGGGGGGGCTGTGGGGGCTGTGGGGGAGTGGGGGGGGGGCTGTGGGGGGGGGCTGTGGGGGGAGTGGGGGGGGGCTGTGGGGGGGGGCTGTGGGGGAGTGGGGGGGGCTGTGGGGGAGTGGGGGGGGGGCTGTGGGGCTGTGGGGGAGTGGGGGGGGGGAGGGGGGGTGACAGTGCCTGACTTTGGTTTCTTGCTCTCATGACCTTGGATTGGCCACACACTTGAGGTTAAGTGATTTTCAGAGCGGGACTCGGAAAATAATGCTACAAGAATTCTTTCATTTCCAATAACATCATCATCGTCATCGTCATCAAAACCGGCCAAAGGGATCTCACAATATTTTACTGTAAATTGTATTAACCGACCGTACGGTGTAAGCAAACGTGGCAGCCAATTCATGCGCAAGTGCTGTAAATAGCAACATGGACTTAAGATTCAGAATAAGGGGCTAGGAATTAAGGGGAAGAAAGTGGAGAATCGTTGTCAGTAGAGCCGGGTCAAAATAGGGAGAGGTATTAAGCGGAGTGTCGAAGGGATCTCACTGGGACCCCTCTTGTTCCTCGTATATATTAAGGATCTGGATTTGCAGGTAGTTACGTTTGCCAATGACGCAGAGTTGGGAGCGCTGTGTAATTAAAGGAGGCGACAAATATCTTACAAAGAGAGTTTTGTAAGATAACTGGGCGGATAGGTAGTAAAAATACAATACAATACAAAATTGCCTTTGTAAAGCGCCTTTCATGTAAGGGATTAGGATTTAGGACCCAAACGGCGGGGTGGGTAGGACGGCGGAGGGTGGTTTGGAATCAGAGAGGGTGGAGGGCAGAGAGGGTAATAATAATAATCCTTGCATTTGATACAGTGCAGAGAGGCTGAAGGCCTGACCATCGAAGGTGGTGCAGGCTGGGGGTGGGACATGGTGAGCCTGAGATCCTGCTGAGCAGAAGGAGCAGACAGATTAATAAGGGATTAGCAGATTGGAAAGGTAGGAGGGGGCAAGACCATGGAGGGCCTTGAAGGTAAGGATGAGAATTTTGAACTCGAGCCGGGCGAGGGTGGGTGTGATGGGATCTGCCCCTCCAAGACCCTTATGATGAGCCAGGCTAGCCAGCTGGTCTGTTACAAGTGCTCTTGAGCACATAGAATCATGGAGCACAGAAGGAGCCCATTCGGCCCATCGTGTCTCTGCCGGCTCTTTGTAAAGAGCTCGCCAATTCAATCCCACTCCCCAGCTTTCTCCCTATAGCCCTGCAAACTTGCCCTTCCCAAATAATTATCATCTTCTCTCTTAAAAGCTGTTATCGAATCAGTTTCCACCACCTTTTTAGGCAATGCATTCCATAGCCGGACAAATCGCTTTGTAAACAAATTTCTCCCCATTTCACCTCTGTTTCTTTTAACAGCTATTTTAAATCGGTGTCCTCGGGTCAATGACCCACCCACCAGTGAAAATAGTTTCTCTTTGTTCACCCTATCAAATCACCTCATAATTTTGAAATTCTATAAGTCTCCTCTTAACCTTCCCCGCTCCAAGGAGAATAATCCTAGCTTCTCTAGTCTCTCCTCATACTGAAGAGTCCCTCATTCCTGGCACCATCCTGGTAAATCTCCGATGCCTTGACATCCTTCCTAAAGTATGGTTCCCAGAACTGAACACAGTACTCTAGCTGAGGCCTAACCAATGTTTTATAAAGGTTCATCATAACTTCCTGTCTTTTGTATGTCTATGCCCCTATTTATAAAGCCTGGTACCCTGCATGTTTTTTAAACAGGTTTACCTATCTGTCCAGCCACCTTCTCTGTTGTTCCTTGTTTAAAAAACAACAGAGAGCGCATGGAGAGGGTAACAAAGGTTCCTGCATCCTGGCTAGAATCTCATTGGAATTTCTCAAATAAGAGACTCTATTCCTAATCACCGCAAATTTGCTGTGGGTCTCATTTTCAAACGCAGATTAGATAGTTTTAGGAAATAATATTATGGGATACAGTACATAGGTAGTTTGGGACATGTGTGCATGCGATCGCCAGGAAGATGGAAGGCGAACTAGATGGACCTTGGTCTTTTTCGTCTAGCATTTCTTATGTTTGTATGTTCTTATGCCTCGGGAGAAAGTAAGGTCAAGAGAGGGATTCACTACAGTGTGCCTATCTTACTCTAGCATTAGCTGACAGAAAGACATGCAATGGAGTCAGTGACCATTTTTTCCTGTTCAGATGTATAGTGTTTGTTACCCAATCAGTTTGAGTTGTTATTACATCGTGGGGATAAGTATCTAGCCAATACCATTGTTCAGTATCAAATTATGCTGAGTCTGAACTCCGCTTTGGTAATACATCACACGGGTCACAGGTGAGCACTCCTTTTGTTTTTTTTACACGCCTCCATTCATGTGTTTCTCTCTGGATTCTGTGCAAGAGTTGCACGCTATCTGTGAGAGCAGAATGTCTTGGTGGAGTTCATCACTGTTGAACAGACAAGCTTCCCCTGGGTGAATGAGAGAGTGAGAAAGTGAGTGAGTGAAAGATTAAGTTTGTCTGTGAGAGAGTGATTAATAAAGTGATCGGTTGTGCAGGTGAGTGCGAGACCAACAGAATGTGTGTGAATGAGTGAATGCATGAGACACCAAGCATGAGTAAGCGAAAGAAAGACACAGCCTGCCTTCATGCTTAAATTACTTTATAGTACAAACGTACAGGGCGTTGTGAAAGGATTTGAAAAGGATCTCTCTCTGAACTTCTTCAACTTGCTTTCTCTGCAATATATCTATGCATGTCTCTTTATCTCCACACTATAAAAATACTGTACACACAAAAGACTATAAAAAACCTTATTGTGCGCTGTGCTGATTTGTGTGCCTTTCACATTAAGAAAATGCCCCGAAGTGCTTCACAGAATTTACTGTGAAATGGATTGTCTGTGTATTTTGTTGGCGAATGTGGCAATCAATATACACACAACAATGACCTGCAAAGTTGAAGAAAAGAATGACCAATTTTATCTGGCCAGGACATCAGGAAAAACTCCCTTGAGCCATGGGATCTTTAACATCTACCTGAACAGGCAGACGAAACCTCAGGATGGCACGTCTAAAAATGCAGCGCTCCCCCAGTATAACAGCTTAAGTGTCAGCCTGAACTGTGAGCTCAAGAGTCCCAACATGGGATTTGACACACAGTATTCTGAGTTGGGGGCATGAGTACTGATATTAAATATAAGGGGACTGGAGAAGAGGAGACCGGATCAAACAGAGCTCTTTCAGAGAGCCACATGGACATGACCAGCTGAAGTGTCTGTCTTGTAAAAATAATACATAATTTTAAAAATTGCCCAGATAGTACAGAGTCACACCACTTTACAGTTTATCCTGTGAAGTGCTTTGAGACATCTCAATGACATGATAAGGCACGTTATCAAATGCAAGGATTATAATTCAATGATGCTGTGATTCTATTGTATCCTTGTTTCACTGTTACCCGGCAAGGGTATCTACTGTTTAGACTTACCAACACCGTGGTCCAGGGCGCAAACGCCAGCAACCGAAGACAAAAGCACCCAAGCACCGTCTCAGGGATTATGACTCTGGGATGATCCCGTTTGTACGCATCCCAACTCAGGTCACTTTGCTTTCTATTCTACTGATAAGCGATCTCTCGATGCACATGTTGTGAACGTAATATCGGACGGTTTCAGGTGAATTACAAACCTGAGCCTAATGGCCTCCTTTTTTACATATGATAGTGTCAGCTTCCCCCCACCTCCCCAATTGGGTGTCAGCCCCCTCCCCGGCGAGGTGTCCTTTATCAGCCTGGCTCAGTTGCAAGCACTCTCATTTCTATGTCATGAAGGTTGGGTGTTCAAGCTCCACATGAGGACTTGACCTTGCAGACAAGGCTGATGCTCTGGTGCAGAGCTGAGGGGCAGCATTGCATTAAATCAAGGTCCCATCTCTGCCTGTTCATCTGTTAAAGATCTCTTGGTACTATTAGAAAAGGGAAAGGAGTTTCTCCCAGTGGCCTGGCTACCCATTCCCCAGATAAAAAATCACTTCTTGCCTGTTTGTTAGGGATAAACACACACTTTACTGCATCTATTTGCTTTTCTAACTAAATATACGCCAGCGAATACCTTGCTGTCACTGGTCATTCAATGCCCTTGATGGGCTAATATTTATAACAAATAATCCTTGCATTTGATATAGCACTTTTCACATCTTCTCGACGTCTCAAAGCGCTTCACAGAATATACTGTACCACCTCTGTTTGTTCAGCCAGGGTTTGTGAAGGCATCACGACAAACCTCGGAGCATGGATTCTACCAGGGAATTGCTGGGGCTGTTCAGCGGCTTGTCAGAGATCAGCGCTGGGAAGTTTACCATCGGATTGCTTGTGCTTTTTCTGTGCCTTCTTTACTGGTAAGTAAAACCTCACTAGTTTGGAATTTAAACGGGACGAGGGCATGGAGCTCACTGAGCCCTTCCGAGACACTTCATCCAGCCTGCATAGACACTGATAGAAGGTCCCTCAACACACTTCACTGCCTTCTCATCTAATATTATGTCAGTCTGGCTCAGTTGGTAGCACTTTTGCCTCAGATAGAAGATTGTGAGTTCAAGCCCACGTCAGGACAGATAGGCTAAGACTGGAACACCAGCCTAGCCTTCTGACTCAGAGACAAACGTGCTGCAAACTTGTCACAATGTCTGTGCTTTATGAATTACAAAGAGTTTTCCTGATCTTTTCTCCAACAGGTATTCTGTTGCACCTTACTCAAAGCTGGAGCGCATTGGCATCAAGCACCCCAAACCACTCCCTTTTGTTGGCAACATGTTTCTCTTCCAGAAGGTAAGTTGTCAGCGGAGGGATTGTAATGTTATAATAAAAATAAATAATAATTCTTGTATTTGATATAGCGCCTTATGTCTTCGAGATATATCAAAATGCTTCACAGAATTTACTGTAAAGTATAGTAACTGTATATTTTGTGGGCGAAACACAGCAGCTAATTGCGCGCAGCAGTGTCCCACAATCAGTCATGGATTGAGTGATGAATTTTTTTTAAGGAATTATTATCCCCGGAAAAGCGATCCACCAATCAACTAACAACTAACTGGGTTCCTACTTACTGCTAGGTGAATAGAGGCGTGTGGATTAAGGAAACTTGCCTATCCTTTCGTCCTGTCGGGAAACGAACCCAGATCTCTCACTTGCGAGGCGAGTGCTCTAACCACTGAGCTATATGACTCTTTATTTGGGAGGGTGACATTTATTAGAGGGGCTGGTATTTATTGGGTATGGAGGGCTGATATTTATTTGGGGGGCACTAACATTTATTTTGGTTAGTGGGGAATATTCTGACATAGTATTTTGAATGCGTTTTGGGGGGGTTGTTCGGGTGATTTCTGGAGGGGTTGTATTTGGGTTGGTTTTTGGAGTTAGAATCATAGAATTATACAGCACAGAAGGAGGCCATTCGGTCCATTGTGTCTGTGCCGGTTCTTGAGCTACCCAAATCGATCCTACTCCCCCGCGGTCTCCCCATAGCCCTGCAAACTTGTCCTCCCCAAAGTTGTTGAGTTTGAGGTGGCTTTGGGAAAATTTATTGGTATTGTTCTTGGGGGGGTCGCTATTGAGTCTGTTTTTAGGCTTGTCCTTGGGATAGTTATTGGGACTGTTTTGGGGGTTGTTTGCCGTGTCATGAAGTCTTTTTAGGCCTGTTTTTAGGCTTGTTCTTGTGTGGTTTGGAGAAATGTCTTGGGGTGTTTTAGGCCTGATTATTTAGGTGGGTTTTTCATGGATGGCTTCTGGGATGGTTTTCAGGGTTGTTATGGGGAAAGTTCTGACTGTTCTTATGGGATTGTTTTCTAGCATTGGCTATGGGGTTATGTTCAAGGCCGAAATAGAGACTGATTTCGGTTTGCTTTTTGGGATTGTTTTTCTTCCTGTTTCTGGGGTTCGTTTTGGGGTAGTTATTGCGGTTCTTTTGGGGATAATAATTGGGGAGGTTCTGGGGGTATTTATTGGGGCTGTTTTGGGAGTGGTTTGGGTTGTTAATGAGTCTGTTTTTAGGCTTGATCTTGGGGTGGTTTTGGGGGTAGGTATTGGGGTTGTCTTTGAGATGGTTTTTGAGCAATCTCAGACCATCACTTCATCTCCCTTAACTCCTCAATCCCTCTCCCCACCACTACCCAACCCACCTCCATCCCCTACTGCTCCTGGAAAAAAATCTCCCCACCCCCTTCCTCTTGGCTCCCTTGGAATCACCTGAACTCCTCTCTGCCTAACCCTTGACTCCAGGACCACTGTTGGCCTGACTGAATGTCTGTCAGACATCAAGTCCTGGAGGAGAGCTAACTTTCTTCAGTTGAATGTCAATAAGACCGAGGCTCTCCTGATTGGCTCCCGTCACCCTTCGTCACCTCAGACGCTGACAGCATCACCATCCATGGTTACACACTCCACCTTGCTAAGCCAGTCCAGAACCTTGGGTTCTTGTTTGACCCACAACTATTCTTTCTACCCCACATCTGGGCCATGACCCGCTCTGCCTTCCCCCACCTCCACAACTTCGCCCAGCTCTGCCAATGTCTCACACCACAAGGTAACCGAAACCCTCATACATGCTTTTATTACATCGAGTCTCAACTATGCAAACTCATTGCTTGCTGGCTTCCCTAACTCCTCCCTCCACAAGCTGCAGATCATCCAGAACTCTGCAGCTCGTGTCCTCTCCCGCACTAGGCTCCGTGATCCTATCACCCCCATCCTTGCCCACCTCCACTGGCTTCCCATCACAGAGAGGATACAGTTCAAGATCCTGGTCCTCACCTTCAAAGCCTTCCATGGTCTTGCTCACCCCTATCTCTTCGACCGCCTAACCCCCTACCATCCTGCCTGCTTCCTCCGCTCAGAGGGCTCCGGGTTGCTTCATGTCCCCACCTCGTTCATCCCACTATTGCCGGGCAGGCTTTCCGCTACTCTGTCCCTACCCTCTAGAACTGCATCCCGCAGGCCCTCCACCTTGCCCCCTCCCTTGCTTGCCACTTTCAAGACCCATCTCAAGACCCTCCTCTTCGACCGTGTTTTCGATTACCCTGTTTCCCCCCGCCCTCCATCCTCCCCGACCCCCCAGCTCGTGTCCGTAACTCTGTCTGTCCGGCGCCTTGGAATGTCCTCCCGGTGTGAAAGACACTATACAAATATAATTTTGTTGTTGTTGATTTTTTGTGCTTTTTTAGGAGTCGTTTCTGGGATGGTTTTGAGGATTGTTATTGGGAAATTATTCCGGTTGTTTGAGAGGCTGTTTGGGTGAATGGGGGATATGGGGGTAGTTATTGGGGTTGCTTCAGGGGTAGTTATTGGGGTTGCTTTAGGGGTATTTATTAGGGTTCAGTGTAAGAGACAGGTAGTGCTTTAGACAATATGTTAACATCTTTTCAGGTAGATGTTAAAGCACCATATGAAAAGAGAAGGGAGCTTCTCTCTCCCTGTGTCCTGGCCGACAAACTCCCAGAGTCACTAACTTCAACAACAAGATTCCATTTATAAAGCGCCTTTCACGTCAGGAGGACGTCCCAAGGCGCTGCACAGTTGGGTCATGACCCGAGCAGGGGGGAAATGGTCAGGGTGAGGGAGGGAAGGGAGGGAGCGAGGAGGGGGGAAATGGTCAGGGTGAGGGGAGGGAAGGGAGGGAGCGAGGAGGGGGAAGAGAGTCGAGAGGGGAGCTGAAGGCTCGGTCAAAGAGAAAGGTTTTGAGACCGGCCTTGAAGGAGGAAAGGGAGGAAGCAAGGCGAAGGCACTGGGGGATAGAGTTCCAGAGCCTGGGGGCTGAGAGGCTGAAGGCCCGACCACCGATGGTAGGGCGGTTGGGGCGGAGGACGTGGAGCAGACCGGAGCCAGAGGAACGGAGGGTACGGGCAGGTAGGTAGGGGGATAGTAGGTCGGAGAGGTAGGAGGGAGCAAGGCCGTGAATGGCCTTGTAGGTGAGGATGAGGATCTTGAAATCAATCCTCTGGGGGATGGGGAGCCAGTGGAGGCGAGCGAGGGTGGGTGTGATGTGGTCCCGAAGCCTGGTGCGGGACAGTACACGAGCTGCAGAGTTCAAGGCTGCTCGAGGGACATTGCTGGGCACAATTTGGCTTTCGCATTTGCTCACAGTATAACAAGAAGACGTGAAAAGCGCTATATCAAATGCAAGAATTATTATTATACAGTCACTGCACATTTAAAGAAGTCATCCCAACATGAAAGGGGAGGATGTCTCAAAACGCTTCACAGCATTATGTTGGGATGCAATAAGTGAGTGAAACACGATTCCGGGATGAATGACATCTGTCTCCAGTAACTGAATGCCTAGCGTTCCCTGCTGTAGCTGGTGTCCCAATGTATGCCTTTGCCTCAGTTGATAGGCTGTTCCATTCTTTTTGGGCTTTGATTTCCTGTGCGATGGGCAGTTTACTTTGCGTCTCAGTGCCTTGAGCATATCCCTGGTGCCTCCTCAGTCAGACAAGATGCCCTTTGTGTGGCTGTCACTGCCTGGCCTATATATAGCTCTTGAGCCTTTTCTGTGCACGGCTTCTAAGCAACCACAGTTACGGATGTATGGTGGCATTGTCTGGTGACGCTAAGGGGTGGCCTCTGCCCAGGCTTCCAGCCCGCTGACGACTGACAAGTTTTATTGAAGTGCCTGTGATGGTTTCATTATATAACAGGTGCTATCGAGCTTCCTTCCCCAGAGTCTCAAATCTCTCCCTCATTACCCGACACCACCTATTTCACAGATATTCTATACCAGGATATTAACTCACACTATTGCCAAACTACTGTGAAACAGTAATACCATCCATCAAATAAGATGTTAAATAAGATCCCATCTATGCCTGTTCAGGTGGATGTTAAAAATCCTATGGCACCATTGTAAAAGAGGAGGGAGTTTCTCCCTGTGTCCTGGCTGACAATCATTCAGATAAATACAGTTTACTGTATATCCTGTTAATCGCTTTGAGACTTCTCGACAATGTGATAAGCTGCTATATCAAATGCAAGGACTATTATATTATAAAAATTGTTGTGTGAAAATTGGCTGCCACATTCACTTACAAAATATGCAATCATAGCATTTTACAGTAAGTATTGTGAGGTGCTTTGCAACATCAAATGCAAGAATTACGGTAATAATCTCAGCACGCACAGAGTGCATCAGGCATTTCCTGCCTCCGGTCTTGTCAGCCAGAGTGAAGCTTATTGCCCTTGCGTAGACTCGCAGGAACAACTTAGTGAGTGACATTGAACGCATTGCATTTCCTGTACAAACAACTCCATGGCCATTCGTTGGCAAAATTGCCGACTGCTGAGCTGGGGGTGTTATTGCTGTGGGCTTGTGTACGCAAACAACTGGTCTGAGACTTTCCCAGCTTAACTTTAGACAAAATGCAGACAGAAGACAGAGGGAACTTTCACTAATTGTTATGGGTTAGGTATGAGCTCAGCTCCCAGGCAACTTTAACCCACTGCACCACTAGTATTTAACTTGACTCCAACTCCCCAATCTTAACACAGCCCTACATACTATGCCACAGTTTACAACCCCCCACACCCCCCACTCCATACTATCTCCCGCTTTACCCATGCCCTGCATGCTACAACATCCCACAAATGGCCATAAAGTGAACAGTTTTTATCTGGTGTATTGTTGACCAGGAGAAACTCCCTTCTGTTTCCAATACGCCATAACATCTTTAACGTCCACCCGAACGGGCAGATGGAACGTCGGTTTAACGTCTCATCTGATTGACGGCACCTCTAAAAATGCAGTGACCCCCAGCTCAGCACTGGAGCATCAACCTGGACTGTGAGTTTAAAGTCCGAATATGGTGTTTTAACCTACAAGCTTCTGTCTCAGAGGCGAGTGTACTACCTTCTGTTAAACTAAAGATTATCAGCCAGGTCACTGGGAGGGACTTCCTTTTTTCTTTTTGAGAAGTATTGGGACTGAGGAAATTCAGTTAATTGACAGATTATCTTTTCTTCCTCCAATACAGGGATTTTTTGAAGTTCAGCAGCAGATGGTGAAAAAGTATGGCCGAGTGTGCGGGTAAGAGGGTCATTTGCATAAAACCATCACAACACATGGGAAGGGCAGGCAGCGACATTTCGAAGTGCGGTAACGGACCACTGAGGTTCACAACAGATTAGAGCAAATATTCTGGATTCACTGTGCCCTGTAATGCTTGTAAATTTCCAATGGTTCCATAGTGCTTGATTCTCATTGACCCAACAAGACTAAATTTTCATTGCTGTTATGCAACCCCATTCTGAACCTCTCTTTGTTAGAATGATTATTATTAATAATTACCGTATTATTAATTATTATTTAGGTATTTAGTTTTGATAATAAAGAGAATGAGTGAGAATGAAAACCCTCTTTGAGAAATAAAGCAGCTGGAATCTGAAAACTGAAACAATAAATGTTAGGACCTGGATTTATTCATAATAATGCATCAAGCTATGAAATGTTTCAAAGCTCTTCAAAGATTTTACTGTAAAGTTTAGTGACTGTGTATTTTGTAGGCGAACATGGCAACCAATTTACACCAGTAATGTCCCACAAACATCCATGAACTGATTATATGCGGAGGAATCAGCCAGGACACCGGGAGAAAGTTTAAAATCTCACCACAAGGCTTGAACCACCCACAGCCTTCTGACTCTCAAGTGAAATTGCTGCCGAGTGAGCCAGGTTGACAAAGCAGTAGGAGACCATTCACGCCATCCAGTATACTTTGCCTTATTCTGCTTTATTTAATTATGGCAGATTGTTGATTCCTATAGCTTAGTGGTTAGAACACTCGCCTCGCAAGTTGTTTGATTCCGCACTTTGAAATGTTGCTGCCTGCCCTCCCCATGTGTTGTGATTCCCTTAGGCAAGTTTTGTTACTCCACACGCCTCTGTGTACCTGTTTACTCCTGACCCAACTGTCCAGCGCCTTGGGACATTCTCCCGACGTGAAAGGTGCTCTCTAAATGAAATCTTGTTGTTGTAGCAGTAAGTAGCAACACGGTTGTTACTCAATTGGCAGATCGCTTTTCCGGGGGTAATAATTCCTTCAAAAACAAACTAAAATTGGTCACTTTAATCCATGACAGTTTGTGGGACACTGCTGTGCAAAATTGGCTGCCGCATTTCACGCACGAAAATATACAGTCAATTCACATTACAGAATTCTGTGAAGCTTTGAGACTTTTTGAAAATGTGACAAGGCGCTATATAAAATGCAAGGTTTATTATTATCTTTTAACTGCCTTTCCTGTGTATAACTGACTTGTCTCTGTGGCTGGATATGACTTGTCCCCTGACTAGCCAGCTATCCATGTGCCTTTTAAATTTCCTGATTCATTCCACCCAACTGGGGGCAGACCATTTCCACTGCTGCCTCAAGTTAGCACTGGAGCAGCACAGCAAAAGATGAACATGGAAAATGTTATATGTGGAACTCTCAGTCTGGTTTGGGTACACTTAAGCATGGTGATGGGTTTCTGCTTGTGTCAGACTTATCAAAAATAATTATAGCCCACTTATCTCGGGCCAAAGCTTCCATCCACAATCTGTTCATTTTTCATACTTTACTAACATCTGATGCCTCCCAACTCCACACAGATGCAACACTACATCAAATCATCAATCACAGTGCTTACTGCATGCGTCCTACTCAGACTCCCATCTGAAATATGCGCACATACACACACACATCTAGTGGCAGGGTATGCTCAGAGCAGGAGTAACATAGCCTGAAATGGCTTTTGTGAGCTGGCTGTGTGCGCTGTGGAGTAAATGGAACTCCATCCCCCAGTGCCTTCGCCTTACTTCCTCCCTTTCCTCCTTCAAGGCCGGTCTCAAGACCTTTCTCTTCAACCGTGTCTTCAGCTCCCCTGTCGACTCTCTGCCCCCTCCTTGCTCCCTCCCTTCCCTCCACTCACCCTGACCGTTTCTCCCCTGCTTGGGTCCCGACCGAACTGTCCAGCGCCTTGGGACGTCCTCCTGACGTGAAAGGCGCTATATAAATGAAATCTTCTTGTTGTTGTAAATTGCTGTGTGTAAGTTGGCTGCCACGTTTCACTACAAAATACAGTCACCACACATTACAGCAAATCTTGTGAGGAACTTTGAGATGTCTTCAGAAGTAAAAGGTTTGATATCACTGTGGACCCTGAATCAGAAATCAATGATTACAATCCAAGGCCAATCTCTGGAACTCCCTGCTTCAATTTCTCCTCTTACCCCCCTCTCTGCCCATCTCAAATCACACCTGAAAACTTTCCCTTCCAACCATGCCTTCGGTCACCTCCCCTCTCTTTCCAGCTTAACAATGGTGTGGTTTGGCGAGTCAAACCACACCATTGTTAAGACACTATTCGTATGAAGAGCGCTATATAAATGCAAGTTGTTGTTGTTGTTGAATTGCAACAAATGTATGGCTTTGATTCAAGATAATCACAGAAGGAATTAAAGGGGAGGTTGGAAAGCCACTGCCCATAGCGATGATTTGGAATGTGGAATTGAACGAGAAGCCAATGCAAAAAAACAAAGACCAAGCTGACGCTCCAATGATGGAGGGAATGCTATGATATTGAAGGTGCCGTCCTTCAGATGAAACGTTAAAACCAAGGTCTCCATTTGTCCATTCAGGTGGACATTAAAGTTCCCAAAAGAGAGGTTTCTCCCAGCGGACTGGCCAATAATGCTCCAGACAAAAATTGGTTATTCACTTCCTGGCTGTTTGTGGGACACACACCAATAAGTTTTTAAAACAAAATAGAAGTCGTTGGAAACACTCAGCAGGTCAGGCAGCATCTGTGCAGAAAGGAGAATGAGTCAACGTTTCGGGTCCACGACTCTTCGTCAGAACTGGGGCATGTTGGAAGGGAGAGGCCTTTAAGGGCTAACAGAGGTGGGAGGTAGGGCAAGAAAGGAGTGGGGTAGAGGACAGGGGATGATGGGTTAAAGAGGTGTTAATACTGCAGAACAAAGGGGGGGAAAAGTTGCCACAAAATACGCAGACCTGAAACAGGCCTGTCCTCTACCCCATTTTCTCCTTTGTCGTCTTTGCCCTATCTCACAGACGCTGATAATTGTCTCACCAGACCAATACTACAGCTTCCCACTCATAGAACAGAACTACTTCCAGTGTGTCTCAAAGCACTTCAAAGGATTTACTGTAACATTGGATGACTCTATTTTGCATGCAAACTTGGCAACCAATTTGCACACAGCAATGCTCCACAAATAGCCATGAAGTGAATGACCAGTTTTTATCTGGAGGATGTAATTTTAATTGAGCTATTGTTGGCCAGCACATCAAGAGAAACTCTTTTTTTTCAAATTGTGCCATGGGATCTGTAACGTCCACTTGAACAGACACAGATGGGACCCCGGTTTAACATCTCATCTGAAGGATGGCACCTGTGTCAATGCAGTACTCCCCCAACATTGCGTTGGAGTATCAGCCTGGGCTGTGAGCTTAGTGTCCCTGAGGTGGGGCTTGAATCTACAATCTTGTGGCTAACTGAGGAAGATTTTGGGAGTAGTTAAAGAGATGATTATTTGGATGAAAAACATGATCAATATTTAATGTCACACTTGCAGATACTACTTTGGTCGTCGAGTGACTATTATGGTTGCTGACCCGGACATGCTGAAGCAAATTCTGGTGAAGGACTTCAGCAACTTTGTGAATCGAATGGTAAGAGATACTTACGTGTTTCGATTGGGTTGACAAACTCACATTGTTAAGAGAAATGTAGATGCGTCTGATGAACACTGTCCATCTCAACGTCCTAGCTAAATTGTATATTGTACATTTCCCAAGTGGAACAGATGAAATAATAGTTTATACTTGTGGATTAATCTCGTGTAGTGCTGGTTACAAAGTGGCTCACTTATTGCAACTGACTCTCGACTCTTGAGTGAGAAGGTTCTGGTTTACCGCTCCACGTTTGAACTCACATTGTCATTGTCAGAGGTGCTGCAATTCACATGAGATGTTAAACCAAGGTCCTGTTCGGGTAAACTTTAAAAATCTCATGGCACTCCTGGAAAAGAGAAGGGAGTTTCTCCTGGAGTTCTGGCCAACAATCCTCCAGATAAAATTGGTTGTTCATTTTTTTGTGGGACGTTGCTGTGCACAAATTGGCTGCCACATTCCCCTAGAAAATACACAGTCACTGAAGTTTACAGCAAATCCCTTAAAGCGCTTTGAGACATCCTACTGATATGAAAGGAACTATATCAAATGCAAGGTGTGTTATAGTGCTGCCTGAGTGATCACAAACTCAAGGTCAGAAGAGGAAACAGACCAGACAGTTCAGCTTTACCCAGAGACTGCTGAATGCAAGCAATTTATTCCTCATGACAGGTTAGCAGTTTCAGACAGCAATAAGGCACATGTTTGCTGGAAGAATTCAGTCATGGGGTTTCTCTACAAATTAGAACTCTGCTGGACTCTTAATAATAATGGTGATATTGGATACTATGTCTTTCTTGCTAAGAGGATGTCTTAAAATAATTCACAGGATTTGCTGTAAAGTGCAATGACTGTGTAGTTCTATACCCATCAATTCCTTTCTCCCTCTTGTATACATCATAACAGATTTTTTAAAACCGTTTTAAACACTGCCTTTTCTACACACCCTTTATACTGTACATGAACAGCTCCAGCCCACTTGCCTGCCTGCCCACTTTATACCTTCCATTTGACTGCCAGTTAAGCAGGGTCTTCTTGGAGCTCAACTGGCTACAAGGTGACATGCCTGGCAATGGAATGTTGGAATCAAGCCAGCCCTCTGGCAGTCCCGGGAGTCCAGTTCCTGAGCCAGGCTGGTACGCAGTATTCAGGGCACGGCTGATGTCAGCACAGCCAGCCTAGTTCATCGGCAGGACCTGGAAAGGCAGACCAATCACTGGGGGCTGGAGTTATCCTTCTCAGCTCCTGTTAACCCTGCTAAATCCGTAATGGGTAGGGTGGTCCTAGCTGGACAAGCAGCGGGAAAGCTTTCCAGGCAGCAATATCAATGGCAAGCTTACGTGGTTTTAGCTTGTTAGACTTGCAGCAGTGCCCTTAAGCACACTCTGGGGTTGCCAAGCGTTGGCTCTTGCCAACCTGCGCCTAAGACTTTGCGTAATTAGGTAAGCAGGATGCGTCCCTCTAGGGAGAGAGTGCGCATTCCATTTCAATAATCTATTACTGGGATTTCCACGTGTAGGTGGGAGGCATGAAATCTCAGTTTGATTTGGATACTCTTAAGCATGGGGATGGGTTTCCGCATGTGTCAAACACTTGGCTGACCAAACAAAACACTCTGCCAGTGAAGTCTTCTGATGTTGCGCATTCCATATTCTCACAAGTTTTCCTGAGCATTAACAAACAAGAGCAGGAGGAGGCCATTTAGCCCTTCGAGTTTGTTTCACCAGTTGCTTCGATCTTGGCAATCCTTTCGCTCCAATGGCTTTTTCACCATCCCACTTAATACCTCTACTAGCGATTAGCATTAATGTAAGGATAAGTTTCTGTCTATCTCTCTTTTAATACTAACAAAAATCCTTGCAGTTAACACACCATATCAGTAAAATATTTGAAACAATTCACAGGTAAAGTGTCGTGACTGTCTATTTTGTAGGTAAACAGGGCAGGTGATCTGCATACAACAAAATCCCACAAACAACCATGTATGGGGGATTGTCGGCCAGGACACTGGGAGAAACTGCAGTCTAAGTGACTTGTCTCCAATGTTAAACTCGTATCCTGTTGTACTGCATGTTTCTTAGCTCTTATTGTGCTGGGAGTCTGATAACACCGAGTTTCTTTCCTTGGATTGCATTTCAGAAATTGAACATTGTCAGTAAACCAATGAGTGATAGCATTCTCTTCCTGCAAGATGCAGAGTGGAAGCACGTCCGTAGCCTCCTGACACCAACCTTCAGCGCCGCAAAAATGAAAGAGGTGAGGAACGGGCAATTTATCAAGATTCACTAGGTTGGTTCCTGGGATGAGGGAGTTGACCTACGAGGAGAGGTTGAGTAAACTAGGCCTATAGTTTCTAGAATATAGAAGAATTAGAGGTGATCTTATAGAAACCTATAAGATTCTTAAGGGTCTTGACAGGGTAGATGCTGTGAGACTGTTTCCCCTGGTTGGAGAATCTAAAACTAGGGGTCATAGTCTCAAGATTAAGGGTCAGCCTTTTCGAACTGACTTGAGGAAATATTTCTTCACTTTGTGGAATTCTCTACCCCAGAAGGCTGTGGATGCTCAGTCCTTGAACATATTCAAGATTGAGGTTGATAGCTTTCTAAAGGATAGAAGGGAATTAAGGGATATGGGGATCGGGCCGGTAAATGCAATTAGGTTAGAAGAGCAGGCTCGAGGGGCTGAATGGCCTAATCCTGCTCCTACATCTTATGATCTTATGAAACAGAACTGGACCCTGTTAAAGAGCACACATAGGTGCCTATGGTCACTTCCCCCTCCTTCCTCCTTATTCAGTGATCCAAGCCCGCCACTGTGAAGCACTGCAAGACATTATCCTACATGAAGGACACTATATAAATGCAAGTTAATGCAGTCATATATCCTGAGAAGTGCTACTAAGAGACATTCTCCCGACATGAAAGTCACTGTATCAAATTTCAGGATTAGTACAATGATTATTCTAAAATATAGTTCCAATGTTCAAACAACAAGATAAGATTTCACAGATTTTATCAATATCCCCATAAATACAGAGGTCGTTACAGGTTCCAATGTTTACCTTCTTTGTATTGCAAAATAAATTCTTCCTTGATACCAGTCATTTCCTTTTCAGATGTGCCCTTTGATTAACCAAGTCACTGACATTTTAATGGAGAATCTGAAGAAGTACGCAGACAGTGGCAAGAGCTTTAACATCCACAAGTAAGCAGTGCATAACATCAAAGAAGCACATCCCCAGTGAAACAATTAGAGTGTGCATTTTTGTGATGTTCAAATATTTCAAAGTGCTTCCCTGAAACTGCTGTTATGTGCAGTGATTGTTGTATGCAGCCATTTTAGCAGGGCGAAACCTTACTCCACAAGCCTCTGTTTACTTAGCAGTAAGTAGGAACCCGGTTATTTGTCGATTGGCAGATTGCCTTTTCGGGGGTAGTAATATCTTAAACAAAAAAAATTATTTGGTCACTCAATCCACAACCATTTGTGGGACACTGTTGTGCACAATTGTCTGCTGTGTTCTGCCCGCAAAATATACAATCAATTCACTTTGCAGTGTATTTTGTGAAGAACTATGAGATGTCTCAACGTCATGATAAGGCGCTTTTTCAAATGTGAGGTAGAATTATTATTATTTTGTGCATAGCAAGGTCCCAGAAACTGCCCATGGTGAATAATCAATTTTATTAGGTTGGTTGTTGGACAGGGCACTGGGAGAAACTCCTTTTTCTTTTCTGCTCCATGGAATCTCTCACCCCCACTTAAACAGGCAGCCAAGACCTCTGTTTTGAAGGACAGCATCTCGAACAATGCAACACTTTCTCCAGCAATCCATTGGAGTGTCAGCCTAAACTATGAGTTCACAACGTGGAGATCCCATGTGGAGTTTGGACTCACAGACTTCATGATATGATATGGCATTACATCAAACCAAAGATATTATTCAGTTTCATTTGGGCACATAGATGTTGGCTGAGAGATACAAGACAACAAGAATTTAATATAGAAAATCAAACTATATCCTCAAGAGAAGGGGGCGGTTCCCTAATATCCCAACCGGTCGTAGAAGGGTCGGGCACATTGTGACATGACTGACGTCAAGACCGGCGACATCAGGTGACCACTGATGTGACCTCCTGTGCAAAGCATTCCGCCCCCAACACCCCACCAAAACTCAACCAGCATAACAAGGGGGTGCCTTATAACAGGGGCTTCAATCTATCTCTGTCTTTCTTACAGGTGCTATGGAAATTTCAGTATGGATGCGATTGCCAGTGTAGCCTTTGGGACCCAAGTGGACTCCCAAAACAACCCAGAAGACCCATTTGTGAAACACGCCAAGATGTTCTTCGATTTCAGTTTTTTCAAGCCAATTATTTTTCTCAGCAGTAAGTGCCAACTTATGTTTTACTCAATGACTAGAACAGGTTGCCAGGAAGGGTGGTTGAGGCCAGGGCATTGGATTCATTTGAAAAGCAGGTTGATTCTGTGAATGGAAGGATGCTAAGGTGAGTGTGAGATCAGATGAGCTGAAACCTGTGTGAGTGTATATAGAATGCTGTATAAATGCAAGTTGTTGTTGTTAAATGTGTATATTCACTTGGTTTCATTGACTCCCAATCCCCCAGCAGATTGAGTTCAAGTTCCTTATTCTCACTTTCAAATCCTATCTCTGTGACCATCTACAAACCTACCAACCCTCCCTTCGCAAGCATTGGCCTGCTTCATGTTCCCCACCCTATCTGCTCCACAATCAGTGGGCGAGCTTTCAACCATTTAGGCACTGCTCTCTGAAACTCCCATCTTGGAGTCCCTCCAACTCAGCCCTTCCCTCCTCACTTTCAAAGCTTGCATTGAGGCTTATCTCTTGGACAACACTTTGAGTCATTTTTCTCCTCCCCACCCTCTTCAATTCCCACCCCTCAGGCACTGGGTGTGAATTGACAGCCTTAACTATTGGATGCATCAATAAAGTATTTACCAACCCTCCCATTTTCTATTGCAGTTATATTCCCGTTCTTCATGCATATCCGGAATATCTTGCCCTACACAAGGCAGAATGAGATGAATAATTTCTTCAGACGAGTGATTAAAGATATCATCGCACAGAGGGATCAGCAGCCTCCCAATGAGGTTAGCATTTCAGTGACAATACATCAAAAGTTATATTTAATCCTTGCATTTGATATAGCGCTTTTCACGTCGGGAGGACGTCACAAAGCGCTTCACAGAACACACTGTAAAGTGAATTGACTATAGATTTGTGGGCGAACGCGGCAGCCAATTGCGCACAGCAATGTCCCACAGACAGTCGTAGTTTAAAAGTGACCAATTTATTATTGTTTTTGGTTTTGGAGGGATTATTATTAGGCGTGCTTGCCCAAGGTTTCGCCCTGCCGGGAATTGAACTCAGGTCTCTCGCTTGCAAAGCGAGAGTTCTAACCACTGAGCTACAGGACTCCACCTGTATATTTATATAGCACATCTCACATTGGGATGATATCTGAGTGTGCTTCACACCTGAGCCTGGGGTGGGGGGGAAGATAACCAAAAGCATAGTCAGTTGTTATTCAGTGCTCATTGTTATTAATTTACAATACTTTAATTCCATTCCCATGCTCTTTCCCTGTAAGCTTTATGTTTATCCACAATTGCCCCAGTTTCCCACAACACATTGCTCAAGCTGTATAGAGCTCTGGTCAGGCTACACCTGGAATACTGAATATGGTTGTGGTAGCCGTAACGTAAGTGGGTTGCCCAGGCCCTAGAGGAGAGAAATGAGGGTGATATATGAGGAGGAATGAGCTCTGAACAACCATTAGACAAGCTCAGGCTCTTCAGTCTTGAAAGGAGACATCTCAGAGGGGGCTTTGTCAAGGTACATGTGTTTTTAAATGGGACTTTACATAGAAAAAGTGGAAACTACAGCTGAAAGACAGAACAGTTTGAATACTCCACATGAACCTCCACATCACATCCTGAATCCCCCTAGCTGTTCATCACAATCCTCTATTCTTTTCTCCTTCCTGTAATGGGGAGTGAGAGAGTATATACCCAGAACAATAATTTCAAATACTTCAAGGTTGTAGAACAACCGGACATAAGCTTAGGGCTGCAAAGGACAATTTCAGGACAGAGCAAGGAAGTAATTCTTTACCCACAGAGTAAATAACGACTGGAATAGTGGTTGAGCGCAAGATGCTGGACTCATTTAAGAAATTGACGCTATATCAGGAAGAAAGGGTTGGTAATCCAGAAGGATGATGTCAAATGGGGTTGAAGGATGTTCTAAACTCCTAAACTTTTAAATCTATAGTGGCTATTTTAGGAGCCTACTAGAATTTTCTCACAGGGTTGGGATCTGGATTGCCTTGCCAAGAAGGATAGTGCTGCTCTGATCCATTGTGAATTTTGAGAGAAAAGTTGACTGATACTCCAATGCAGTGCTGCATTGTCAGAGAGGCCGTCCTTTGGATGAGATTAAAACCGAGGTCTGGCTGTGGAGGTGGACGTTCAAGATCCCACGGCACTATTTGAACAGAGAATAGAGTTTACCGTGATGTCCTGGCCAACAATCCCCCAAATAAAATTAGTCATTGACAAAATATACACAGTCACACCACCTTTCAGTATAGCCTGTGAAGTGCTTTGAGACATCTTGATGACTTGAGATGCACTATACCAAATGAAAGGATTATTATTACAACAACAGAATTATATTTGTATACTAGTATTATTATTACTTGATGGCTGTTTGTGGTGAAGGTGTTTTAAGACTTTTGTGACAAGGTGCTATATCAGATGGAATGATATATTATATAAGTGGAGTGTGTTACTCAAGATATATCATCAGTTATTGTAACAAGCAGTACAAAGTTTGGACAAGTAGAATGACACTGATCCTTCCTTTCCTCACAGAGACGCCAGGATTTCCTACAGTTGATGCTGGAAGCCCGGAAATCCACCCCCTGTACCAATGTGGAGAACTTTGACATGGCCCAATATGACGAATGGTCCGAGAGTCCGAGTGCACAGGCCGCAGCCACAAGCAGCAGCCAGAGATCCCCGCGCAAAATGCTGACTGAGGACAACATTCTGGGTCAGGCTTTCATTTTTTTCGTGGCTGGGTACGAAACAACCGGCAACACTCTCTCCTTTGCCAGCTATCTGCTCGCAACTCACCCAGAGTGCCAGGCAACCCTGCTTCAGGAGATAGATGAGTTCTGGGAACTTCATGTAAGTGAAATCAGAATAGTTCACTGTAATGTGAACCTTGTATTTGATTTTTAGTCCAAATCCCTGATTATCCAGTGCCTTGGGACATCCTCCTAACATGAAAGGTGCTATACAAATGCAATTTGGTATTGTAGAGTCCCAGCATGTTAACCAAACGTCACAAAGCACTTCATAAGATTTACTGGTTGCCTGGCTCAGAGCCCTCTCGCCTCTGAGGCAGGTGTGTGTTCAAGGCCCATGTTGGGACTTTGATCTCACACAGTCCAGGCTGACGCTCCAATGCAGTGCTGGGGGAGCGCTCCATTGTTGTCTCATCTGAAGGAGGTGCTGTCCTTCAGGTGGGATATAAAACCGAGGTCCCAGGTCTTTGCCTGTTCAGAATGAAGACACCAAAATTTTCTTTACCCAGAGGGTAAGTAACAGGTTGGCAGGAAGAGTGGTTGACCCCAGGACATTGGACTCATTTAAGAAACAGCTTGATACTGTGATGGAAAGAGCGTAGGATGGATATTCTAGAAGGATGAGATCAAATGAGCTAATAGGCCTTCTTTCAAAATTCTCTTGATTCCACTCTCACTGAATAAGTATTTGTCCTGGATCAGGATACGTTTAGACTGGAGTGAAGCTCAAGTGGAAGATTTCTCGTATTGTACATTGACTCATCCACATTATACCTTCTCAGAACACTCCAGATTATATGAATGTACAGCAGTTACCGTATCTGGACATGGTGCTAGCTGAAACCCTGCGAATGTATCCAAGTGGTGTCAGGTCAGCACCTCACTTTATTCTGATGGATATACCGTGTTACATCAATATACATCAATAATACGTCTTACAATTCTCGGTGTCAGAGTGTGTCTATGAGTGTATGTGTGATTGAGAGAGTATGTGCGATAAGAGTGTGTGAGAGATAGACAAGACAGAGCGTGTGTGTCTGTGTGTGAGTGCACAAGTCTGTGTGCACATTGTGAAATGAAACCGTTTTATTGGATATAATATTCATAATCATCCCAGTATTTGATATTATAATTTTGTTTTGGGAAGCTGGGTGTTTTATATGTACAGAAACCAATCACTCTGTGTATGTTAGTGACTGTTTTGGTGAAGTCTGGCACCCTCTGGTTCTGGTCCAGGTTTGGCCGTGTGTGCAAGAAGGACTGTGTAGTGAACGGACAATTCTTTCCGGAAGGTACAACCTTGGAGGTTCCTGTTGGTGCTCTTCACTATGACCCGGAGTTTTGGCCAGAGCCAGAGAAATTCAAACCAGAGAGGTTCGTGATTACAATTGAAAAATCCCCCAGCTTCCACAGTCAGGTAACCCTTTTATTGCGCGCTCTGCTTACCAAATTCTGGAGAATATTAGGTGTTGCCAAGAGTCAAGTTGGCAAGAGTCAACGCTGGGCGATCTAAACGTGTATTGGATTAACCAGAGTTTAACCAGCTAAAACTGCCAAGCTAGGCATTGAAAGCATTGGCTGGCAGGTTTCCTGCTGTTTGTCCAGCTTGGACACCCCACTCCAATTAGAGCTTTGGCTTGCAGGATTAACAGGAGCTGAGTGGGAAGAATGCCTCCTTCCTTCAATATTATAATAATAAACATTACCAGTCAGACATCAATGAGCCCTGGATGAGCTCTAACTATCTTCAGGTAATGTAGACCAGACAGAAGTAGCACCTTTTCATCTCATCCACTGACACCATCAACCTGCATGGAAGGGTAATCCACCTCAAGGAGCCTGGCCAGAATATCAGTATCTTGTTTGACTCCCAACTGTCCTTCAAATCCCACATCCGTGTTCTGAACCGCTCAGCTTTCCCTGACCTCCGTAACGTTGCCCGACTTCGTCACTACCTTGCTCCCTGATCCACCGAAACCCTGATTCACACATTCATTGCTAATTGACTATTAGCCTTGACTATGCTAATGCCCTGCCTACTGGACTCCTTAGCTCTTCTGTACACAGACAATCTGATTGAATTATCCCAAACTCTACAGCTTGTGTCCTTGCCAGACCAGGCCCTGGGGACCAATCATCCCCCATTCTCACTCGGCTTCATTGGCTCCCATCCGCCAGAAGATTCAATTTCAGATTGTCAATCTGACTTTTAAATCCCTCTATACTGGCTCGCCCTCCCTCTGCGACCTGCTACAGTCCTACCAACCCAGCTGCTCTGTGACCTCCTACAGCCATACAGGCTTAGCCGCACCTTCCACTGTGAACAGTGGCCTGCTTCATGCCCCGAATCTATCTGCCCCACCATTGGCAGCCAGACCTTTCAGTTATTCTGCCCTGGCTCTCTGGAACTCCATTCCGGAATCCCTGGTACTCGCTCCCCCACCCAAACACCCCCCCACCACCACCTGTTCAAGATCCGTCTCAAGATTTCCCTCTTGACCACTGCTTTTCAATCAGATTCACGGCTGAGATGAAAGCGAAGCGCCATCCCTTCGTCTACCTGCCATTCGGTGCGGGGCCAAGAAATTGTATTGGGATGAGACTGGCACAGATGGAGACCAAGATCAGCTTGATCAGAATACTGTCCCAGTATCGCTTTGAGACTTGCCCAGAAACACAGGTATGTCTAAAACTGACACTTCCCTTTAACAGTGAAACTAGCTGTGATACAGTAGTTCAGTGGCGGAGGGAGTGAGGGTTGGCAATGAAAGAATGCAATATTACACTTTGCCAAATTAGAGATATCAAGGCAAAATGCTTGTGAATAGCCCATTCTGTCTCTGGATTTTCTTTCATTGAGAATCGGCTGAAAAATTTCCACAGACAGATGAGGACGGCACACCATCTTCTCAACTGGCAGAGAATTCTAAACTTATCCCCAAACCAGGTCCCATTTCCACTCTCACTGAGGAACAGAGCAGCAGGAGAAGGTGCAAGGAAATGTTTTTGATCTGACTTCCCACCAGCTCAGCTCCAATTTGAAGCAGTCCTCCTCTTGGTTCAGATCAATCTGGTTGGAGACATGTCCCCATTCAGCTTATTGGATTAGAAGTTTAATTTTTTTTTGTCAGTCTGACACACAGGGAAACCCATCCCCATGCTTAAGAATATCCAAACCAAACTGAGAATTCCATGCATCCCACCTACACATGGTATCCCGCTGTTGGAATGGAATGCGCACTCTCTTCCTGGAGGGACGCCTCCTGCTTGCCTAATTCTGGAAAATATTAGGCACAGATTGGCAAGTGCCAAGGCTTGCGAACCCCAGAGAGTGCATTCGGGTACTGTTGGGAGTCTAACCAGCTAACCACACCGTTTGCCATTGATATTGCTGTCTGGCAAGCTTTCCCGCTGCTAGGGCCACCATCCCGATACGGCTTTGTCTTGCAGGAGCTGAGAGGGATGACTCCCTGCCCCCAGTGACTGGTTTGCCCTCTCGGGTCCTGCCGATGAGCCACTGCTGTGCTGTTAACAGGAGTGCCCTGGAATACTGCGGATCCACCTGGCTTAGCAACTGGACTACCAAAATCGCCACAGAGGGTTGGTTCGATTCCGATCCTCCATTGCCAGGCATGTCACCTCGGAGTCAGTTCAGCTTATCCCCCCCCCACCCCAAGGAGGATAGTTACTAGTTGGTCATTCAACATCTGACGAGTGAGGGTTTGAGCCTCACAAGGTGGATGGTCGGTACAAGGAACTCCCTACGAGCTTCCCAGTGGGCAATGCAGGGCACTGCCACCATCTTCCTGTCTGCAGCTCAGGCACACTCCCTTCCATTGAGCGATGGTTACACCAATTGGAGGTGCGACTATTGACCCCTTATGCTCACAAACTACACTTTTTAAACAAGGAGAGAATGTAATTTATGTGTTTTCTCTGACACAGAGCAAGTCAGTGTGCAGCAGCTGAGCAAGGGAAAGGCCTCTTCCACTGATGCTTTCTTTTCAATTTGCTTTCAGATTCCAATGAAGGTCAGATCGGTTGGAACTCTTGGGCCAAGAGATGGATTGGTCATAAAGATTGTACCACGGAGAGTGTAAACCCCTTTTCAACAGCTTGTGGGGAGAAGAACCCAAGAATGGATCAAAGCAAGAGGCACTGAACACTGCTTTTGAATGCAATTTTTTCTCTAGAATATGTAACAATCTATGAGGTGTGATAGCATGCGACGATAGGCTATTATGTCCATCTATGGGGTCCACGGGAAAGCAGAGATTGCGCTAATTTTGAAGACACAGCTCTGTTGATGCCCTAAACTAATCAGTGTCAAACTGGGTATTGTGCGTGTTGGGAGAATTTGAAAACACGGGAGGTGGATTTTTAGCACAAAAATGAAATTTTAGTTCCCGGAATGAATTTTTAGCGAGTAGAATAATTTCAAGCAGAAACAAGAGTGAGTGCATTAAATTAAACATGTTATACTGTTATAGGAATAGTCATATGTTTTTTGGGGTACGTTTCACTATAACATTTTGTTGTTATTAGGAAGTTTTAGTCACAAATATTGCTTGAAAATCTGTACACGACAGAAAATCTGCTTTTTATTTCTGAGACTTTTGGAGGGGGAAATAAATCAGATTAAAATTTGCTTTTTTAACAAACAGTTTTTTGCTGAACATCCATTGCTGTTTTCTTCTACAGGGTTGGCAGGTATAGACTGTCAGAGTACATGTGTTTGAAAGTGTATGTCTCTGTGAGAGAGTCTCTGTGCTCTGTGGGTGTTAGAGAGACTGTATGTGAGAGAATGTGTGTATTTGTGAATGCGTGTGTATGCTTGAATTTGTGTATTTGTCTTCAAAGAATCTATAAAGTCCCCTTTGAGTTCTTTTTCACTATTGAGAAGCCCCAGTGTGTCTAGCCATTGCTCATTTCACTAACACGGGAATCATCTTTGTTGCTCTTCTCTGTTCGCTCTTGTGCCTGGGTAGCTCCATTATGTCACGTCAGACAAAAGTATACATAGTACTTCAGGTCCAAAGTCTGGTACCGGCTGCTGATATTTTAGCAGAAATATTTTGAGTTTATCCTAGCCTGTCATATTCACTTAAAGTCCTATCATAGGAGCAACAGAACTGTGTTACAGTACGTTTCCTTATAATGCAAGTTTGCATATTTGGGTGTAGGTCCAAACACTAATAACCCCAAAAGATATAAAATACAAGCACTAGCTCTGTCAGTGCTTTAACATGTCAGCTGGCATGCAGGAAACCAAAACGGATGATGTTTGTGGCATCAGCCTAGCTCAGCTGCTGCATTCTCTCCTCTGAGTCACAAAGTTGAAGGTTCAAGCCTTACGCCAGGACATTGTGACACTCCAATGCATTGTCGGAGGTGCCATAATTCGGGTGAGATATTAAACTGAGGCCTTGTCTGACCGTTTAAGTAGATGTTAAAGATCCCATGGCACTATGGGAGAAGGGAGTTTCTCCCAATGTCCTGGCTATCAATCCTCCATGGCTGTTTGTGGGACATTGTTGGGCACAAATTGGCTGTCGCATTTGTCTATAAGTTTCTAAGTATGGTGCATTTTGTGATTCCTTCTGAGATGAAAGCACTATATTAAATGTCAGGATTATATTATCACGTTGCTGCAACATGAAAGTTCTGGAAGTTGGAAGCTAAAATGATAGACTTCCGTGTTAATAGGTCACTTCAGCTCAGCAAAGAACAAAGTTATGTGAATGTCGACCTCATGAAATAGTGCAAAAAGCTTTCCTCTGCAGTAGTCACAATTATTAACACAATGTTGCATTCTAGAACCAACAGTGGGATCGGCACAAGGAATATCTATTTGTTTTGGTTGGCTGCGTTCTCAACATATGTGGAAAACCATCATCATGTTTAAGCATTAACCAGATTGAGAGTTCCACATATGTATGCCAGGTGAATGTTTTCCGGTGTCTGGAATGGAATGTGTACTCTCTTCCCTACCTTTGACCTCCTAACCCCCTACCAACCTGCCCGCTCATTCCGCTCAGCGGGCTCCAGTCTGCTTCAACTCCCCCGCCTTGCCCGCCCCCCCATTGGTGGGTGGGCCTTCAGCCTCCCTGCCCCAACACTGCGGAACACCATTCCACAGTCCCTCCGCCTCATCCGCTCCCTTGCAGCTTTCAAGACTCACACTGACAGGGATAAAAGAGAAGAGGCTACTTAGTATGAAACGCTAATAAAAATTTGCAAGTGCATCAAGGGTTGAGAACTGTTGCAATCTGCAATACCATCTATACTGTGAAGTCCTGTAGCTCAGTAGTTAGAGCACTCGCCTCACAAGCGAGAGACCTGGGTTCGATTCCCGGCAGAGCAAATTATTGGGCAAGTTTCCTTACTCCACACGCCTCTGTTTACCTAGGAGTAAGTAGGAATCCAGTTGTTAGTTGATTGGCCGATCACTTTTCCGGGGGTAATAACTCCTTCAAAGAAAAATAATAAATTGGGCACTTTAATCCACGACTTTGTGCGACACAACTATGCGCAATTGGCTGCTGTAATTCGCCCACAAAATATACAGTCAATTAATCCTCTTTACAGTATATTCTGTGAAGCGGTTTGAGTTGTCTCAAAGACATAATAAGGCGCTACATCAAATTGCAACGATTATTATTATACAGCTCCATGCACCAAAGATATTACCGAGGCTATTTGCTGAAACTGATTAGTTCTCTGATATAATGTATGGATAATGTAATTATCCATACACTATATAACTTACTTCCACCCGTGCCCTCCACCCTCTCTGATCCTGACCACTGATTGTCCAGCGCCTTGGGACATCCTCCTGATGTGAAAGGTGCTATACAAATGTAACTTTGTTGTTGTTGTTATGATAGTCACACTCGATTCCTTTAAGCTTTACGCTTGCTTAATGAATGATGAAAGTCTGATTCTATTACAATGGATTTAGATTCTGCCTTACTGACTTCCTGCCATCAAAGATTAACAAATAAAAGGGTGTGGTTTGGTAGAGGAATGAGCCCTCTTGTTAGCTATAAATCTGCTACATTTCTGGTAAACTTGCCATCCATTTCACTCCAGCTCCACCCTTCAGTACAGAAGTCAGTGTGATACCAGGCCAGATGTGGCTGAGGATTAAACACTCAGTATATATGCCAGTGTCAGACCAGGCCAGATGTGATCAACCAAACATTCTGCCTCCTATATGGACTCTAGGTGGCAGTGTTTTCAAGTAAATGAGCTTCGCAGATCCACACTGTCAGCAAGTCATTGGTAAATTAAATGATACTCTTCATGATGACAAACAAGTTATAAATGATTGTATTTGCAAGACGTTGTTCGGGCTGGGTGCCTACTGTGTTTGTCAACACAACAAAGACCCCGATGTGGGACATGAACCCACGACTTTCAAACTACAATATTAAATCAGTTGAACTTAGATTGCCCAGACATCATACACAACAACAAAATTACATTTGTATAGCACCTTTCACATCGGGAGGATGTCCCAAGGTGCTGGACAGACAGAGTTACGGAGCTGGGGGTCGGACTGGGGGAGGGTGGAGGGCAGGGGGGGAAAGCAGAGAGATCAAAAGCACGGTCGCAGAGGTAGGAGGGAGCAAGACCATGGAGGGCTTTGAAGGTGAGGATCAGGATCTTGAACTGTATCCTCTATGTGATGGGAAGTCAGTGGAGTTGGGCACGGATGGGGGTGATAGGGTCACGGAGTCTAGGGTGGGAGAGGTCATGGGCTGCAGAGTTCTGGATGATCTGCAGTGTGTGGAGGGAGGAGTTGGGGAGGCTGACAAAGAAATGAGTTTGCGTAGTCGAGCCTCAATGTAATGAAAGCATGTGTGAGGGTTTCGGCGACTGGCGGTTTCAGACAGTGGCGGAGCCGGGCAACGTTGCAGAGGTGGGAGAAGGCAGAGCGGGTGATGACGCAGATGTGCGGTAGAAAGGATAGTTGAGGGTCAAACAAAACACCAAGATTCCAGACTGGTTTAGCAAGGTGGAGTGTGCAACCATGGATTGTGATTCTGTCAGCGCCTGAGGTGAGGAGACCCTGACGGGAGACAATCAGGAGACCCTCGGTCTTGTTAACGTTCAAGCGAAGGAAGTTATCTCTCATCCAGGATTGAATGTCCGACAGACATTCAGACAGGACAGCAATGGCCCTGAATTCAAGGGTGGAGGCAGATAGGTAGAGTTGGGTGTCATCCGCATACATGTGGAAGTTGACTCCATGTCTTCGGATGATGTCACCAAGAGGGAGCATATAGATATTGAAGGGGAGGGGACCAAGGACAGAGCCCTGAGGAACGCTGCACAAGATGGTCCGGGGGCTAGAGGAGAAGCCATTTGTGGAGATGAAGTGCAGGCTGTGTGAGAGGTACGATCTGAACCAGTCAAGGACAGAGCCATGGAGGTTGAGGTGAGAGGAGAGGCGGTAGATGAGAATAGAGTGGTCGATGGTGTCGAAACCAGCAGAGAGGTCAAATAGGACGAGGAGGCAGAGGGAGCCTTGGTCGCAGATGGACAGAATGTCATTTCTCACTTTGACCAGGTCTGTTTGTTACACTGCTCTGGTCAGGCCACACCTAGAATACTGCATTTATTTCTGGGCACTGCAACATAATGGGGAGGCCCACAACCTAGAGGCAGTGCAGAGGAGAGTAACAAGGATGATTCCCAGTGAGAGAGGTATGAATTATGAGCAATAATTAGACAAGCTAAAGCTGTTCAGTCATGATACATGTTTCAGATGGTACCTAATAGAGATGTTAAGTTAATTGAAACATTAAATCCGGAACAATACTTTAAGATGCACCATGAGTGTTGAACTAGAGAACATAGGTTTCAAGTTGTAAAAAGGGTCATTTCAGGCCAGACACCAGGAAGTTTTTCTTTACCCCAATTATTGATGGGAACAGGTTGCCAGGAAGGGTGTTTAGGGCAGAACACTTGGACTTATTTAAAAAACAGCTTGATGTTGTGATGGGAGCAAAGTTGGTTGGATATTCTGTAAGGATCAGATGGGCCAAAGGGTTCACTTCATCTTAACTATTGCAAAAGAGGATGGAGTTTCTCCCGTTTTCTAACCAACAACCCCTGGATAAAATCAGTCATTCACTTCATAGCATTTTGTGGGAGATACTGTGCATTTGAAGTCGCGGCTGTGTTCATCTACAAAATGCAAATTTGCTCCACTTTACACTGTAAGTCCTCCTTCAGCCTTTGAGATGCTTTGAGGTTGTGACAATACACTATTATTTTTATGTTTGTTCATTCTATATGCCTTCTTGCTGGATAGTGGTTTATGAGTGTTGGTATGGGTTCATTAATAATTGCTTATAGAGAGCACCGACCAACCATTTATAATAACACTAATCCTTCCATTTGATACAGCACCTTTCAAGTCGGGAAGATGTCTCAAAACGCTTTACAGCATTTATCTTAAAGTATAGTTGTAAGCAAATGTGACAGCCAATTTGCTTACAGCATTGTGCTAACAACCAACCATGAGGTGAATAACCAATAACAACAACAAAATTACATTTATAGAGCGCCTTTCACGTCGGGAGGACCTCCCAAAGCGCTGAACAGTCGGATGTCGGGGCCCAAGCATGAGGGAGGGGTGGTGTAGGGGTGAGG